TTTGCTATGAAAGTTTCCTGTTCCAACAACCAACCAACTGATATGTTTTATTCAATTTCGTTACAAGCACACAAACACAATTTTTTCACGTAGTTTTCGCTAACGCCAACGCCTGAGCAATCATGCTTTGTATATCATTCACACACATACATACATATGTAAAATAAATATATCATTGAATACTCATAGTCATAAATATTCCATTAGCGAAATATCAGTAATTATTTTCGTACTCATAAACATTTTACTTAACCTCAATCGCATCATTAAAATCTATAACAAATTAAGAGAAAAAATATCACTAAATGAGAAGATAAATCAATAAAGTAATAAAAATAATATATTTTTAATACTAAAAGCAGTGAAAATAAATTTGAAAGAAAATCATTTAATTTTCTCATGAACTCATCAAAATGACCAACTCAGCCATCAGCCATAAAACAAAAAGTTCATCAATCATTTTAATATATAATCAATTGCATATACTTCTGATGGAAGTATTAACCACTCAAACAGGAACTAGGAAAAACAAAGGAAAGAAAATCATGACATATGAAATTTGTGTTGAACTCATGTAAGCATGATATCATAAAAACTAATGCATAAATCATGATCATATTTGCATGCAGGCTTGCTGGTATGCTTGTGTGTAGCGGCGCATAAATTTAAATGTTTGCAAAAATTCGCAGAACAACGTTTGTGACTGCAAACAGATGATTCAATTTCAAATAATTTGACAGAATGCTGTATTTAAGTGTATATATATATACATAAATATATGTATAAATGTATTAATAGTAGCATTCACCAAACGCGGCATGTGTAGTTGTTATATTAATGTCTGCACTTAAGCTGAATTGCCTGAAAGTATGCAAGGGATTTTTGTTTGTAGGCGCTTTATGCGATTATTGTAAATTTTATACATATTGTTTGCTATGTACTATGTGTAAATAAGTATATATTTATATTTTATTTATGTTTGCATGTGCATAAAATAACTGTAGTTGAATAATGTCTATTGTGAAGAGCAAAGCAAATGGCGAGTAACTGAAATATTGTTTAATTGATTCAAATTTAATAGAGGAAACACAATATCCAATTAATAAAAACCAAATAACCCCCCTGCGGGCCAGGGTCTCAAGAATTTGCCTGCGGTAAAGCGAGCCTGTCGTAAGATGCGACTAAAATCCAATATTTACCGGGACAATCGGATCTTTATACCGGAACGACTCGGATTTTTATCCAGCAAAGGACTGTCACTACCGCAACATGCTTTTGAGGTTACAACAACAACAATAACCAAATGAAAAGAAAAGCCAAATAAAATAAAATATAATAATGTAAAATGAAATAAGATATAACACAAATAAAAGTTTAAATATATTGATAAAATTAATTTAAAACCAAATAAAATCACTTTAAATAAGATAATACAATATAAAATTTAATAAAATAAAATATTCTTTCTCATAATTAAATAAATAATAAATTAATGAAACATGAAATTATAAAATAAAACCGATAAAAAAAGGAAACCTCGAACACACATAATATGAGAAGAAAATAAAATTTTATTTATTGGATAAAAATAAGTAAATTTTAATGCATTTTGTTAGAAAAGTGCCGTGAATAGTTTACAAAATAAAATATATTTATTTTTCAACGAATTTCATAATAATAAAGTTTTGCCATTCTTCAATACATTTTTTAAGCGCTTATTATGCACTCATCAAAAGGGAGATCTCTCATCCGAGGCAAAATAACATTTTTCATTGGAGTTGACTTTTCATGTGGTGAATACCAATCACTCCGCAAAACCGCATGGGATGCGCTACTCACTTTAGCTCGCTTCCAAACGGATGGCGCAGAAGCATGGGACTCTACTTTGCACATAGGCAACGGCGAATACCGTAGACGATGGAACGATGAGCTGTATGAGATATACGGCGACATTGACATAGTTCAGCGAATGAAGAGACAGCGGCTGCGCTGGCTTGGTCATGCCATCCGAATGGATGAAAGCATTCACGCTTTGAAAGTATTCGATGTAGGACTCGCTGTCGCTGGTAGAAGTAGGGAAAGAGAGAGAGATTTCCACTCCGTTTGGAGAACGACTGGTTTCACTTGGTAATTACGAGCTTGTTCGATGGTATTTGCTGAAGTATTGTCAAAAAACTATTTAACTTTCAGTAAATCTGGGTTTTTCTAAGAATTTACCCAGTCAAGTGTTCCAAAAAGCTCAGGCAATATTCTTCATTTACAGTCCGACCTTTTGGGATAAACTTCGAGTGCACAACACCAATAATAGTTAAAGAAAACAATAAACATAACCTCGTTGTTTATGTTATTGAAGGAAATTCAGATTTTTCAGAATAGCTCGAGCGGCTATGCATTTCAATTCAAATTCCATGCGCAAACATTCGTATAAGATTAAGTGATTTGATAAAGACAGAAAGCTCAGCAGCTGTATTTTCCTCTAACTTAAAAGGTAATTTTCAGTAAAAAATTTCAATTGAAGCCGTTGATGGCCAACCAGAGCCAGGCAAATTTTTCACCACATCTCGAGCGCTTTTGAATGCACTGCACCATTCACAAGTAGAGAGTGCTGAATTAATAATTTTCGAAAGAAATATAACTTTTTCAAGTGGCAAATGATTATCATGAGTTTTAGTAAAACATATTAAAAAAAATATTTTATTTTTTTAAAACTGATATTTTTTGCATCGATAATTCCACATTAAACTGATTATTTAAAAGTTATTCGCTATTTGCATTGCTCTAATATGAAATTGAAATGTTTTTATTTAACCTCCTGCAAATTTATTTTATTACCTGTAGTCTAGTATTATTTTAACAGATCCCACCCAAAAGTAAACTCTGGGGTAGCAGACTAAATATTTAAATATCTAAAATTGATTTCTCTTTTTCTTTCAAATGAGTAATAGTAAAAAAGCATTTCTACTTTCATCATATAAATAAAAAAAAATTATATTTTTTCTTTTTTTAATATTTCATATTAAAAGTTATTAAACAACAATTAATTAAAATTTTTTATTTTTAATATTTTTGATTTTTTATATAGCACTACTACAAGAATACAGGTGTATTCTTATGTATTTATTTAATTAAATAACAATAAAACAAAAACATTGCTATGTGATTTATACAAGCAATGACAAAATAAAAACACATACATAAACACAAATTTAGAAACATAATTAACACCGCATACATCACCATGTTTTTATAAACTAGAATTTTTATACCAATTTAACACATCAAACCTCTCAATGTAACACAATTAAATACTTTGTGTTTGAAAAATGTGATTTTCTTAAAATTGCATTCGTTTGTAAATTTTTTTTAATTCGAAATTCACATTTTTCATACACTCAAACATACACACTCGTACATAGGTACACTTTTGTAGCTGCGTCCAATAAATCTACAATGCACATGTATATATATGTACATATGTACATTTGAATACCTTAGAACAACACAAAAAACACAAACATTTGTACATATGTATATTTTATAGCAATAAACATTACAACAAATATCACGATATCGATGTCCTCAAACCATTTACTAAATTAGGCACACTTACATAATTGATCGTATATACAAGAAAGTTTTACAAGTTACAAAAAAATTACACTAAAATGAGTGAAATACACTAACACACAAAATCTATTTTCGAAACGTACTTATGTACATATTTATATACAAATGAATTGTTTATATACTAACTTATATATGAGCATTTACATATCAGCGCTTACACTTGCATACATATGTATGTATTTACTTATATCTTATAAAACAGTTAGCTTTACACTTTATATACTTTTACATGCATTTATCAAACGTTATTGAATTTGTAGAAAAGCCCTAACTGTAATTTTTTCATAGTAAAATTTCTGTTTTTTTATAAAAAAAGTATCACAATATTTATATTAAAAAAATTATAAAAAAAAAGTCATAAACATAACTCTGAAATTAAATACCTTATACAGGGTTATCCTTTTTGCTATTAGGAAAATAAAGATAAATAAAATACCTTTAAAATAATTTTTTCAAGAACATTCTTTTTCATTATACCTACACATTATATAAAATGCGAAATACTACTTCATTCAAATGAACACCTGGCGAATTTTTGAAAACTTCATTCCGATTGAGATAATCTTCTACCATTTTTTGCCACATTTTGGGCGGTAACAAAACATGTTTCGTTTGACAATTATGTTTGACAGATATCAAAATACAGCTTTGTACTTTTGAAACCACGAAATGCATAAGCCCATATCAATTGAGTTATTATTTTTGCAAGAAAAAATACCCAACTTAATAAAAATCGGCAAAACATTTTTTTTTCATTCTTTAAAAATCAGTTTTTCCGCTTCGGTATAATTGTACAATATTTAGTGAGGGCTTTTCTACTTTTCATCAATGACGTACATACATATTTAATATATATAAATTACTATAAAATAACTGTTTTTTGCATTTCTACTTGTTATTTATACAATATATGTATGTAATTATCAGCTGTTAAAGTCTCTCTCCTAAGCGCCTATAAAATGCAAAATTTTTCTAATCGAATTTTCCTTTTTCATTTTGTTCATCACCGAATCATTGAACGATGAATTGCATTGAATTGCATATGCAAAATCGTTGTTTGCATACTCGAAAACATACACACATAAAAATACACACAACTCGCTGCCAACGACGACCCACTGCTATCAAACGGTGCTTGTGCGTACGCACACCACTGCTGTGAACTCATTGCGCTCCGCTGCCTGCTGCCTGCGCTCTCTTGGTTTGGATTTTGTGTTGTTCTTCTGTTGCGGCTTTGCGGCATTTGTTGGTTGGAATATCGGCCGTCTGTCGTGTGTCGTGTGTCGTCTGTCGGCCGCCTCCATGACTGCCGAAACGAATGAATGAACGTTTGATTGATGCCGTTGACATGGATGACTATAAATAATGCATAGACATATTGTCGTGTGCGGACATATAACGTATGAGTCAGTGTCGCATTTCTTGAAGGATTTCCTGCATGAAGATCGTGAAGATGTGGATGTGGAGGTGGTATTTTTACATCGGTAAGTTGTATTATCGTCTACTTATATTTACAAATGTTATGTTTATATTTATGTGTATATTTATCAATAAATAAATATGTATGTGTTTATGTTTTAATGTGCCTATGGTTATGCATTATATATGTATAACTATTATTTATTAATGTATTAAGTATGTAATTAAGTAACATAGTATATAACAATAAAAAGGTTACATACAATAGTATTTATATTTACATTTACATTATTTACATATAGATTATATTATTATTATTTTCATTAAAAAAATATACAAAAATATTTTTCTAAAAAATTATATTCTTAATATCAACGACCCGAAATAGTGGAAACTTTTGCAAACATATTTTTTAAGGAGTAAAATTTTAATTTCCCTTTACGGCAGTATTACATACTAAAAAAGTTAATTAATTAATAATTTAATAAACAAAATTACAGTTCGATCAGGATATTAAAGATCAAATTGAAGCTTTCCATATTTTTTCTCCATTAAATTTTAAACTAAATTACAAACATCAATGAGCTTGGGTCGGTATGTTTGTTATTATTGTTGTTGTTATAGTAGCTTCGTTAGCCTCACTTAGGGACAGGATAATCAATCTAAGTCACGGAAGTCATCTAACAGGAGGTTCAGAAAACGAGCTGTTTCAACGGGATTGGACCAAAAGAAGAGGGGTGTTAGATGTGTGTGGTTAGTGTCGTGCGAAAACTCTCCGCATGCAGGGCACACGTTAGATATGTTGGGGTCGAGTATGGATAAGTAGGAGTTAAAGCTGCTACAATATTCAGACCTAAGTTTTGTCAGTGTTACGCGGTCCTATAGAGGCAGCTCGTTGCCTGCAAAAGGTGTTGCTTTTTCTGCGAGCACGACATTCACGGTAAAAAGGTGTTGACTGACTCCAGTTCAAAAGCGTTCAGTGCTTGTCTGTATGCCGTCCTGTTCAGCGATTGTTGCACGTGTTGCTGGATGGTGTCCTTCACGTCTAGTACTTAGTTGCTGATGTGACTAGATAGAGGTTCAGCTTCTGTAAGATTATTATGCTCCTTAACTCGTAGCACAGATGCTTCACTATGCAATAGCACATGCTCCGACGACATCAGAAGGTTTCCTATTGCGTTCCTACTTGACGCTCAGTTAGATGCAGCATAGTTAACGACCGGCCGGACAATTGCTTTATAGGTTGCCAGCAAGGTTTCTTTATATTTACCCCAGGTTCTGCCGGATAACGCTTTGAGTATTTTATTGAGCTCTGGAGCTTTGCGGCAAATTGCGGTCGTATGCTAAATAAAGGAGTACAGGCTTTCGATTAGGACTCCCAGTATCTTAGGGTTGTTTATAGTCGGAATTTTCTCTACATCGACCTTCACATCTAATGTGTCCTGTACTCCTTCGTCCAGCTGGTGAAGAGGGTAGTCGAGGATTTAGTCGGTTGTATATGCAACTCTCAAGACAGGCGGTTCTACGTACCGAGGTTGACTAGGATTTTATCCGGCCAAGGGCTGTCACCTTTTCGGCGACTTAACGCCGTTTAGGTCAACAGGCAACATAAATCTGACCGTTTTCGGAAAGCTCAATCTTTAGCCTGTCAGCCTCTTCCGAACGATCGAAGGATTTATTATGAGGAGGTTTTTATTTCAAGTCAAACTCGGAAGGCTTGACAATCTCTGCAATTAGAATAATTTATTTTTCTATAATTGTGGATATTAGTCGAACCAGAACTCGAACCCTGGCCTTCCAAATAACAGTGCGCATGGTTATTAATGCTATGGGCTATCGAGGCAGTTAAAATAGTCACCATTCATTACGAGAAAACAAGTTTTGGTTCTTTTGAAGCCGCTGGTTGCTCCTATTTCCTCTTCTCTCCACTATTTAGACAGTATATTTGTTTCATGCTTACAATGGTGTATCCAAGATTCATATTTATGGTATCTTAACTGAAGAAATCTTTGGAAATATTCTTTCGACCTTGTCTTAGATCTGCAATGAGCAAAGGCGAACCCCAATATGCGAAAAGATTTTTCATATCTAAATATCGACTTACTGTGATTAGTGTTCCCAGAGTTCCCAATTTATACTAAGCCGCTTTCGAACGGCTGATGGTTTTTTTTGCGAGGAGTCTTTATTCCATGTCCGCAATACACACCGCAATTAGAAAATTCAACTTATTTTTTTATTTAAATTAATTTTCCAGAAATTTTGGATGTTGGTGGCACCGGAATGTGAATACTTAGTTCAGCCGCTTCCTTCGATTTGTCTTTTGTTGTTATTTACAATTTAAGCGAATTCACTCAAGGTCCTCTCTTACTTTGGCTGATTATTTGACCAGTAAGAGTTGCGGCTTATGGTGTATGCGAACAATAACTGTTAGATTGCTTGGAATAGCAATAACCCTAAAGGTAGTTTCCTTGTGGTAGTACATCAAAATCAAAATCCCAAAACACGCGGCTCTCTGGAGTAATTTATAAAAGGAATACTTCGCGCCGTATTTCAAAGGTGTCTCTTTACGTTCTCTTCTACTGAATGAAAATCCATTTTTAATGACCTTTCAGCTTACCTCTCAATTCATCCCTCGTTTTCTGACCAATTATTTATAGAAATTTCAATTACTAATTAACTAGCTCCTAATTTCGGTCATAAATCCTGTGGCGAGAAATTTAAAAAAATTTCATCGATTTCTGCCACTGAAGAGGTTCAATTTCCGACATTTTCAGTGCTAAAGTTTATAATCCAATGCGAAATCTCAAAATTCCTCCAAGCTTTAAAATAGACATCGATATCGCTCACTTTATGGCCTTAAATGCTGCGGAAATCGCTAAAATATGTTTGCAAGGGTTTTAAGTTAAAATAAGTGGAAAAAACTATATTGAGTACACTTCGATTTAAGTATTTTAATTTTCATTCTAAATTTAATAACACTTTGATTGTGCATTATTAGCAAATTTTACTAAAAAAAAGTAAAAAAAAATACTACAAATATTTGGTTTAAAAAAATAATATTAATAAATAATTTTAACCAGCATAATTAACAAGTTTAAACCAGCAATTAATACACAATAATAATTAAAATACAATAATTAATATATTTGTAATAAACCATGAAACAAATCAACTCTGTATGTATGTAATGTAGCAAGGAGCCTGATCTGGAGCTAGAAGGTCTACTGAAGCGTCACTATACGACAGTGGCGTTTTTTCAGGGCACCATGATGAATGCTGTCGATTTGGAACGAGTAAAGGTACACATCAAAACCGTACACACACACACGCACACGAAAAACAGCTGCATTATTTTTTAAAGAAATTTTCAAAAAAAAAAAAAGCAGAAAAAGAAAATTAATAAAAACAAAAACTCAAACTGAGAACGGCAATTGCAAGAACGCAAACAAAACATTGTTCGACACAAGTCTTAGACACTTATACAACTGCTGTCAAATACTAATGCCAATACACACAAAGTACTTACTTGCAACAACAACAACTACAACTATTATCATAATTCCACAACTGGCAAATATCAATATATTCTTCGTGTCATTGGAAATATTTTATAACTTTTCCATTGCTCTCTATAACTAAGCTGACAAGTTTGTGTGTGGGTGTATGTGTGATTGTATGAGTGTATGCGCCCGTGTATGCTCTTTGAAATTTGAAATGAGCCCAATATTTGGTGGCCAAAAAACCAATTTGTTAGTAAATACCACAAATTAATTTGCCGTATGTTTTCTTCGTCCTCTTCCTCGCTCAAAAGCCGGTCCCGCGCGTCACTTTGCTGTAGTAAATGCCAGATTTGAAGAAAAAATACCAATCACTAAAATGAACCATGACCACCGCTCAACATTTCACGCTCATAGTATGCTTCTCACTACCGAATAGCTCATTGTCATATTATATAATATCATATCGCATCATCGCCAATACAATTTATAGACGCTATTCATAAGCATAATTAGGTCTACACGCGTGTAACTAGAAATATCTACGAACTACAAGCATAAAAATATATTGATTCCTGTTTTGGCATTATTTGCGGTGATTTCTATACAGCAAATATGCGCATACGCTCAATGGCTATCTATCAGCCGTAATAAGTTTACACACTAAATCCTTCTCTCTATCAACTTTTCTCACACGCCCTCACCCACCGTTCCGTCAGCAAAATGCCCAAAACAACTTGTTTTCCTATTTGTCTGCTCTTCAAATAGTCAACCATCACTATCGCCATTCCACCCACCCGCCTGTGTCATCTTTATTCGTTACACTTTTCTTTTTTCCCCTTATTTTACTCCAACGACGATTTTATCACCAGTCGCATTCGACCAGTTTACTAGTTAGTTTTGATTTGTTCGTCACTCCTACTCGGCGCTTTGTTTGTTGAATATTCCTTTTTTTTCTTTTTGATTGTTTATCCGTTACTTTGACTACTGATTTTGATTGATTGTCTACGGCTGACGTATAATTTTGCTTTATGAACGCGGCGTTGTTTTATCCCTTTTTTTTGCCCTCTTTGAGATTTTCATTTTACAAACGGCCCAATTTTTTTTTTCTATTTTTGTATTTTTTTTTAAATTTTGGTAATTTTTTCAGTTCTTGTTTATCCTTCGTTTCTGTGCATTTCACTATTGTTCAGTACTTTTCTTACGTACATACCTTTTTTTACTAGTTATGAGAGGCTGCATCACACACTTTAGAACTTTTTTCCTCATCACTGCTTCAATTTGGAATGACGTTTTTTCCTTAATCAATATTGTCTTGTTTGAGAGTTTCAAGTAGTCAAGTCTTTAAAGAAAAGAGTTCTTATGACGTTTCTAGTGCGTTTAGTAATTATAAATACATGCCTACATATATACAATAGATACCGTTTAGTAGTTTTTAAGAAGATAATTTTTTCGAATGTTAACCATTTTTTAATAACATATAGAGCTTTTTTAATAATTTTTTTTTGTTCTAAAATAACACTTACTAACTGAACTTAACTTTTTGTTTTCTTAGAAAATATTTTCTACAGTTGTCGTTTATTTGTAAATTTCGTAGGTGAAATTACTAAATTCGCTTATACTTAAGGAGTTGAAATAAATGTGTTTTATATAATTCTAGTAATTTAAATAAATATATAAAATTATCATTATGTAAGTTATGCATATAAATTTATCGTATAAAAATATATATATACAGAAATAAAATGTGTACAAGGTATTCCATCTATTATGTCGGTATGTAAAGAATGAATAACTTTTTTGAGAGCACAACCGATTTCTAAAAGTGATGTATTTTTATTCAGTTTAATGTCTTACAACTTTTTTGAACAAGTTTTTGAAAACAATATCAATCATGTGGCTACCTTTATTAGCAAATACAAAGTGACTCCAGATGCTTGGAAATTGGGTGCCTTATGAATTAAAGCCAAGAGACGTCGAACGTCGATTCTGCAGGTCGGAAATGTTGCTTCAACGCCACCAAAAGAAGTCATTTTTGCATCGGATATGCGCCCAGACACGATTCAATTATTTTTCATCATTATAACGCTCGGCCACATGCTCCAAGGCCAGTTCAAAACTATTTGGAAAACTGTGGGTGGAAAGCTCTACATCACCCACCTTATAGCCCAGACATAGTAAATACCTTCCGATTACCACTTGTTCAGATCATTGCAGAATGTTCGCACCGTAGTACGCTTCACTTCAGAACAGGGTATCACAGTTAGTTTGAGGCTGGTTGGCGCAAACCTTGTTTTTCAATTAACCCTACATAATGAAGTCCGTGGGGGTTAATCAGGTGATATGTCTTTCTGGTGCCTTTTTGCCGTGATATTTTTTCTGATATGCACCTTGAGTTAATACAATGGACTGTTTTCGATGCTAAGTGTCACTATTTCAGCACGTTGTTACGTTGTGAAGCGATCCATGGCAGAAATTGTACTGAATTGACGTTTCCAAAACATATCTGATGCAATCGCTCGGTTGGTAAATGTGAAACTTATTCAGCGTTTACATACCGACATAAAACATGAAGCACCCTATATGTTAGAAGTTTCAAGGGTAGGATGTATATGGAGCCATGACAAGAAACGGAAAATAATAAAGAAAACAAAGAAAAATGTGATAGCTCAACGTTTCCAAAAATCTAATTTTAGTTTTATCTAGATTTGATTACCGTAACATTCGTGTGATCGGCATTGGGTTCGTATATTTCCATTGTAAAGCCTTACTAAAATACAGGCGACTTCGTCCACGTATAGTTGGGGTTCTAAACTATTTTTTACGTGGTTTTTGATTCATTACAACGTTTAACTATTAGGTTAAAACGTATGAAAGAGAAATAAGAGTTTTCCACACATCAGCAACGTTAGGACCATTGTATGTTACAATTTTCAAACAAATCGAATTAAGAATATGCTTCTTTCATTCATCAGCCGGTATAAAAATTTCTCCATCCATTAACATGAACGAAGAGCTAACTAGATTCCAGTTATCAAGCAAATCGGACTATGAATACGATTTTTGCGAGCAGTTCGAACTCTGGTACACTTCCTATCTTTGTTCAAATATGTAGATCGCTCTTATGTTCATTTCTCGCAAAGTAAAATTTTCCCCATGTCAACCTTTGCAAAGAGATGCCTACACATGTTCCATATATTAAGCAAGCCCGGACCTTTGAATCGATTCTAGGAACAAACTTTAATATAGCAAAAAGTTAGAAATGTACCAAATTCCATTAAAATAGAACGATTTAAAAGTAAACACGAATTCATCGAATGGCGCCAGTTACATCACACTTACTCTTCTTCTTCTTCTTTTCCGGTTGACCGCAACGAGTTAGGCAGTCTGTGTTCTCTGCACTGAGATACGGCATTCCTCATCGTACTAATTGTTTTCGCAACTTTTCTAAACACTAATAGCTTCGTTTGCAACGTACAGCTGAAAGATCTTGAAATTCCGTCTCAATATGCTGCCAGTCGAGTAAGGAACCGTTGTAATTGCAGCTTTTCAACGTTGAATTTCTTTTGCGTTCATTAACGAGCATTTCTTGCCGCTGCAAGATGGTGATCCGAGTCAATATTGAGTCATCGGGGCATACGCATGTCAAGAACGTTGTAGCCATGTCGTCCGTCTATCACAATCCGAGCCAAGTAGACAAGTAGACTGATGAATTTTCTTGTGCTGCATACTAGTATTGCAGACAACAAAATTGCGGACCCCGACGAAGTCGATAAGTCTCAACCCATTTAAGTATGTCTCGCCATGTAGGCTGAATATTCCAACTATTAGAACGAAGATACCTTCTTTGCTTAACCTAACGTTAAGATCGCCAAACACAATTTTGAAATCGAGGCGGGGGCAACGCTTTCGACTCATGCAGCTTTGGTCATATCATCATTTTTTTCCATCGAGGCGTGGATGCAAATCAGTGATTTGTTGAAAAATTTCGCTTTGATCTCATCCGGGAGGTTGTAATACTTTCCATTAGAGCTGGTTTCTACTTGGCGACACCCAAACACATCGACCTCGCTAGGCTAGCAATTTTAAATTTTTCAACACATTCATATAGCGAGCGCTTGCTGCAAGACCGGCGTCCACACACAGTCGAACCTCCGATGAATATACGCTGCAATCACACTTTACTCACTTTACTCATATTTGTCAGCGGTTGTCCAGTTCTTGGACAAGAGACCAAAAATACTACTGGGTGCTGTACATATGTATATAGGAAAGCGTAATCGAAATGTCTTAGAATGGGATACTGCGTGGACACTATTAATATGTATACCAATTCTATTTCTTTCAGCCACAATAGCAGAGTGGTTGGCATTGCGTACTGCCATTCGGAAGGCCAGCCGAAATTTCAAAAAAAAAAAATTTAATAAATTCGTTATATTTTCAAATTATGGTCGCTCTCGGTAGGGCATGTCAACCCCTCTGAGTGTATTTTTAAGACATAAAAATCAAAGCGCCTCACGAAAAACCATTAGCCATTCGGGGCGGTTTAGTATAAACTGTAGGTCCCACCATTTGTTGACGCAAAAACATTAAGGCGCAAAACCACAAATTAGAGCAGGAGCTCGGCCGAAAATCGCTTCAGAGGGTACAAAGTGCCAATTATGTATATATAATTATATTTTTAATCTCACTTAAAGGAATCGAGCTCATTTTTATGCTCATTGAATATACATCCTAGACCTTGGAGAAAATATATATTTTTTTATCGACATAAAATTACTTAGTATTTACAAATAATTATA